CAAATTGTATAAAATTCCGATCTGAAGATGATAGGGAATGGAAATTAAGTAGTGGAAGGGTGAAATTGCCAGAGACCCTATTGTGATTGGCTTCCTTGGTTGGGCCTTGGTTTTAATTTACTTTCTTCGTTGTTACCCGTTTCTTCTTGTTGTTGATACCCTCAGCTCCACCATTACCATATCCAGAGCAATCCCCAAATTCGTCGCCTGTTGTGTCTTTTGCTTACCCAGATAAGGTTAATGAAGTACAGCTAGGTGATACAACGAAAAGTAGAAGAAGCAATGGACTACATTGAAGACGATCCAAGGTACCCACCAAAATCTTATTCTATGAATCGATCAAAAAAACACCCTTTATATCCTCAGCGCCAAACCCCAACTCTTCACTACAACTACGATTACGATTACGATTACGATTACCTCGACGTTGACGAAGACGGCGACGAGTTGGACGATGAATTCCTGGACAAGAACGACAGCAGCTACAATCCTGGAGGCGGCTATGCTCGCAAGTTTCAAAGAAACGAAGAGGGTTTTGAAAGATACCCAAAGAGGCAAAGGCTGAAAAACCCAGTTTCGAATTATGAATTTGCTCCGAGAAACCCCAGATTATTAGCATATGGAGATGGGAATTCTGCGGTGGAATGGAGCGAACATGAGAAATTTGTTCTTTTGGAGGTGTGGGGTGATAAGTTCTTGCAATTGGGAAGGAACAGCCTAAGATCTGAAGATTGGGTTGATGTTGCTGAGAAAGTTTCGGAGACTTCGAAGATTGAAAGAAATGAAGCACAGTGTAGGCAAATGATGGATGTTTTGAAGAGGAGGTACAAAAAAGAGAAGGCTAAAGGAGGCAATTTTAGCAAATGGGCTTATTTTAATAAAATGGATATGTTAATGAAGCAAGAATCTGGAACTGTCGGTGGGTTTAGTTTAGCTTGTGGAGTGGATTCTGGAGAGTACGTTTTTATGGATACACGCGTGTATTTGGATCGTGCCAATATGAATGATGAGATGAGGGATAGTCCGTGTGAGTCGGAGGAGGAGGAAGAAGAAGAAGAGGAAGGAGGGAGTGCTGGGAATGATGGGATGAAGGGGTTGAGAGTGTTGGCTGAATCGGTGCAGAAGTTTGGGGAGATATATGGGAAGATTGAGAGTAGTAAGAGGGAGCAGATGATGGAATTGGAAAGGATGAGGATTGAGTTTCAAATGGATTTGGAGTTGCAGAAGAAGCAAATTTTGGATAGGGCGCAGGCGGAGATTGCCAAAATAAGAGAAGAAGATGATGATGAGGAGGATGAAGACAATTCTGATGATGATGATGTTTCTGGAGGGAATATCAGCAAATAATATAGGTAGGTGTTTGCATACTTTACATAATGGTTGTGTTTTAGTTTTGGTAACTGATCTTTTTTCTTTCTGTTGGGAGTTTTGTTGAGTAATTGACATAAATTGGATTGATTTTCTGCACATTTAATTCCTTGTTTGGCTTGAAGTTTTGATTGCTGGCTTAATTTGGTTATTTTGGCCCTGCTTGAAGTAAGGAGTTACAATAATTGCCTGGTAAAGTTATGTTGGGGAACATATTTCTTTAACAAATTTAAGAACATGTCTAACCTAAATTAGCTGTGAATGTAGACATACCATATATTCATAATTTCCAATGTTCGGCAGCATTGAGTAAAACAGTTTTTGAATTTCTTTACCGGGTTTGCCTCTCCATTTTGGCTGCCAGTCCTATGTGATGCGAAGCATTTAGTGTTGGTGAGGGAACGCTGCATACAGAATTTCTTAATTATACTTGATTAATTTTATCCTCATAAGTAAATATGGGAAATTGGAAAAAAAAAAAATTAAAGGAATGAAGCAATAGAATGGAGTGTCACAGGGCACAAAATGGTTGGGAATTTGAAGTGAATCTTGACATTTCCTGAAAGGAATTGATTTGCAAGAAACAGATGGATGTATTGACCTGTTGAAAGTTCAGCAACTAAACTTGTTTATTTAAATTCAAGTTGATTTTCTGAAATGTGAAGATATAAATGATTGGAAAATTTGATTGCGCATATAAACAACTTATGGAATATAGACAGTATGAAAAATGGAGTTTTGTCTTAAATTCTTTGATGGACCTGCTCTATGATCTGGCCTGAGTGGAGAGCTAACTTGAAATTGGTGATTTATTAATGGTGAAGTCATTCTTATCCTAAATATTCGTGTTTCTTACTCACTGTGAAGAAAAGAGTTGTCTTGAATTCTTTGATCGGACCTGCTCCTTTATCTAGTCTGATAAGTTGAGAGATAACATGAAATTGGAGATTTATTAATGGTATCATAAACCTTTCTCTATTTGCATACGGTGCTTGCAAGCTTGATAATAAAGAGATGTTATTTTAAACAGAAAAGAATTGACATTACATATTTTTGTTTCTTCTTGATATGAAGAGAGCATGAATCAGTGATGAACATTCTAGGGCAAAGGCATCATAGCAGGTTTAACATTAACAGATTTTGTTGATTCAGTTAGAATGGAAATTATTAGTATACCCTCATTCCTGGCAATAAACATCAATTATATTTTTACTTGTTGGAAACATAAAAGAGCTGGCATTACATATTTTTGTTTCTTCTTGATATGAAGAGAGCATGAATCAGTGATTAACATTCTAGGGCAAAGGCATCATAGTAGGTTTAATATTAACATATTTTCTCGATTCAGTTAGAATGGAAATTATTAGTATACCACATCCCTGGCAATAAACATCAAATATATTTTTACTTGTTGAAATGACAGGTTAGGATGGCCGATAATTGTGGTTGGTAAATTTGGACAGTAGAGTACAGTAAGTTTCCATGACATCTGATTTAGTAACAGTGAATGCTGATTTTTTCGAATATTTAAAGTTGCTAAACATTGAAGTTCTAGAAGACCTCAATATTATGTGATGGCAAATTTAGACAATACAACACAATAGTAAATGCTGATGTTTTTCCATGGCGTGTGATCTTTCAATAGTAAATGCTGCTCCCTCTGAAACATTTAAAGTTCCTGTACATTAAAGTTTAGGCCATATGAATATTATGCGATGTTGTTCTTCAAAATTTCCTTTAGATGGATGCATGCTTTTGGAGATGTATGGGATTTTAGAAAACAATCTCCTTTGGTGCTGTAATTCTCAATTTGGAGTACCTGAATTTCTGAGTCGAGTCTTGTTTATTGTTCCTATATTCTGTCCTTAAAACTATAAATTCTCCTGCCCAAAACAAAAAGGTCATCAGGAATGCTACCATGTTTTGTGGAGAGAGTTTTTCTTTGAAAATAGTTTGAACTCATGTTGAGCAAGAGTCATCCTGAAAAGAAGTTGCAGTTGGTTGTTTTATTGACTTTTTGGCTCAGTTACATGTAGATGCTGATAAATTAAGGTATAGAAACTTGTCTGTGAAGTTTTCGTTGTATGATGGGAATGTGTTTTTGTTGATGGTTGTCAAGTTATCTTGGTAATAATGTGAGGGTCAACCTATGAGCTACCCTTAGACTTATTATGTTTGTTTCATGCGGTGATTTAAAGGCTTTGTTGATTGTATAACTGATTGTTCTTGAAGTAGATGCATTTTCTTTCTTGTTTGTAGCTTGCGAGACCTGAATAGTTTGCTAGATTTTCAATTTGGTTTATATTTTGGGCTGTTCAAGACACCAGTGCTGCTTTATTTTTGATGTCTGCAATTTCTTATAATGTTTTAACCTTTCCTATATTATGATAAATCTTGTGGTACTTCTTGTAACAGTGATTTTGAAGGCCGTGTTCTTGGCATTTGAAGTTTCTTATGAAATTTGAACAATGCGTGGAGAGAGAACTGCTTTTAATCAGAGTTTAACAAAAAGCCTAGCTATGTTGGACTTCCAAGGTTTTTCAGAATTTAATGGGTGTGTGTAAGTTATGTATTAAAGATCTCACATGCATTTTCTCATTGTTGGGATTTCATTGGTAGCTTGGATTCTTGTTCTACTGATTAAAGATACTGATATCGATTTGTGCTGTTCGACATTTCCTTTTAAGATGCCACTATTATGTAATCTGCGTAGCCTCGTTGAATCAATAGGTAAAAAAGTAGTCTTTTCTGGTGAATCACACGGGATATTCCATGTTTGTTCATGCAATTCTGGCTGAGTGAAAAACAAAAAAGGAAAGGGAAAAAAAAGGCCAGGGGCCCATAAATTGGCTATCATTTCTCTGATTGAAGACTGTATAATCTCAAGTTTTACAGGCATAATAGAACGCAACATTAGTAACAGTGAAAAACAAGCACCATGGAGTACCAAGAAACCACCATGGGTCCTTCCCAAAAATTGATGTCCCTTCCTCACCTTAAATTCTTGTATTTCGCGAGGGCTGACTAAATGACTAATTGAACCGGTTGGTCAGATGAGAAAACTCTACGGACAGTCTACTAGTCTTAAAGTCCCATATAAGTTAACAAAGCCATAAGTAGAGCTGTGTTTTCTCCCGGCCATCATATTGTTGGCCTCAACTAATGATTTAAAATACAAAGCGTTCACACTTAAAAACTGCTAAAACCTTCGCTAAATTTCCTACAACCATAAGATGAGCAAATGCCAGCAGAATAGTACTCCTAGAAACCCGAGAATTTTCCAGAATTCTAGCATTCTGGAGCATGCCTTGAGCAAAGCGTATCAGGTACTGATACCACAGTAACAAAAAATCACCGAAAGAGCAAGCAGGATGAATAACCACTGAAGAGATGCATGGAAAAGCTTAATCCTGGCTGACCCGCTTCTAAGTACCCTTATCCCATTGAGGTTTATTCCATTTTTACTGTCTGAAACTACTTGAGCAGTAGCAGCTCATCCAGGGAGCCTGATTGTGATGGAGGAAGGGAAGTTAATGATGATGCGTGTTAAAGTTTTGGATACCAACAGAGGGAGAAGGACAACTGCGGAGAATTGCGAATTAGAAAATGGGAGATGAAGAGTGATTGGGAGTGGAGAGAGGAGAGCACGAGAGACTGAATGGAAATGAGTTGGATAGAGAAGCATAACTCTAATGGATTCTTTGAAAATATGGAGTGTGTTTATCAGATAGTTAAGGATTTGTGCTGCCCAGACTTCTGGGCATTGTGTTCAGGTCCGATGATGGCTGCGGGCATCTAAATCTGTTCAAGAGGCATGTGAAAGGTTGGTGGTTATCAGCCAAAGTCTGGTTGCTTCAATGCTAATTTCTCAGTATAGAAGTGGGGATTTTATTGTTTCCAACTTTTCCAAGAAAAAGGGTTCCGGCTCCTTGGAGATATTTGTTAAGTCCTCCAATGATTAGGTAGAGGTAAATAGCATTGATGATGCCTTTGATTCAATTACTAGGGATTCAAGATGGGGCACTTGCAAGTTGCAAGGCACTGGTTTTGGTTGTTCTTAACAGTGTCATCACGGATGGTCCCGATGATGATTGGCACCGATAGGCAAAACATTTTTAGAGTAATCCCATGAGTTGTTTATGCATCCATTTATGCTTTTCCGATACTTCCAATTTGCAAAACAGCAAATGTTATTAGGTGTCGGCTCTCTAATAGCCAGATACCTAAGCTGGGAGATGGTTGCCTGCCTGCCTGCTAAATTCATAAAGAGATCAAGGAAGAAATGATAGTTCCTTGAGGGTAGTTAAGGCGAAAACATTAGTGTAATGATTACCTTGTCTTCTCTACTAAGCTTTAAATATTTATCCACTCGCAAATATAGTAATTGTCAAACGGCACCGCTAAAAATACTTATCTTTTTCTAAACAAATGTATTGCAACCACAAGTGAAGTTTCTTTACAAGAAAATAATTGCCTCACTGTATTTCTGCTGTGGATGGATGGATCGGAAGTCCTTATCTATATTTCGTCAGGGAACAGCTCCTCCTTGAGTGAAGGAGCAATCCACTGTATTTGAATGTCGGTGATATCCCAGAGATCATCACCCTCCTTTTGCACTAAAATTTCTTCTTCTTTCATTTTCGTGATCATCCTTCTCAATAAACTTGGTACTATTTGTTGCAATTTTGTCCCGCCCCAGACTCCCAAATCCGCCTTCATACATGTATCCATTCTTCTCAAAACTCCCAGCCAGAAAGTCCTAAACCCAGGACTGGCTGCTATCTGCCTAAGGAACAGCATGTAAACATCTGTAAGGAGCTCCATAGCGAGTTTTAGAGTTCCTTCCATACCTCTCATCTCCCTCTCTGCGTTCTCACGCCTTGAATATTCCACCATCTTTTCGTGTAAGTCGTCTACCATTGCAAATATAACCAGGTTAAAACAATTCATACAGTTGACTGGTGAGAAGTCAAGCTCCTCAGCCAAAGTAAAACTTTTCTGAAGCGACGCAATTGCATGGTTTCTCATCTCTTCTCGTCGTGCTAAGCTGGTTTTTCTAAATGCTTCACCGAGTTTGATAAATAGATTCATGGTATAGTTGCCAGAACCTTTTATGATGTCCTCAACCGAGGAATTGCTTGCATTGCTTACCATGCTATGATTACTTCCCGGATCAGAGTAATTTCTGCACCAATGGATAAGTAAATTCACTGAATCTGATAGAAGGTCTAGTATCTTCAGGTTCTTCTCTAGCGGACTGTTCTTGAGGGCAACAAATCCAAATGCACAATCAATACAATAAGCGTAATTTATACGTGAAACATATCCAGTGTCAGACATCAAGGTGATCAAAGTCTCAACACCTTGCTCGTAGGTTTCCAAGTGTCGGCCTGAAACAGATAACATATGGAGTGCTGATTTCCAGCCAAGATGAGTTTGTAAATTTTCTGGATATCCAATAAGAATCTTGCTTATTGTATTTGTTATGGACTCACAACATGTGTCAAGAATTTCTTTATCGAGCTTCCACATCAAATTTATGGATTTGAAAATCAACTCCTCTGATTTATCAGCTCTGGATGAAGAAAGAAGCTTGAGACATACCTTGAAAAGACATAAAATGGCCTTTTCAGCAAATGGGATAGGGGAGAAAAGAGGAAACTGAGCAACTACTAGCAAATAATCATGGAATGAAGGCCAAAATGACTGGAATCTGTGAATGTTGGCCATAGCAATGACAGTTACCAAATCCCAACAGAACCCAACTGTCTCTTCCTCTTCAACTGGGGTGCTGAACTTTTGACCTTTCCCAGCCGCTGCAAATATCAAAGAACGCCCAAGATTCAGCACAGTGTCTTCAGGTAAAGTTGAACTATTGCTGAAGATGCTCCCAATTCGGCACTGTTTGATAATCTTGAGGTTTCGCTCAAATTCACTCATTCCGAGAGATAATGAATCTTCCATGCTCTCTACTGATAGAAATTGCGAGAACCGACTAATAGCGTTAGGAGTCTGATTGTCGCCAAATTTAGGAGCGTGGGAGGGAGAGATGACACCTGATTCAGTACTCAAGTTTGCTGAGGCAGCGTTATCAAAATCAATCGCAGACTCAGGAATTAGCTTAAGCCTTTTGAGTTTCAACAAGCAGTCCACAATATTCCTCCAGCCCGCTCGAATTGAATCTCCAAAGCTGTTTGCAATGGTGAAAATGGCAAGAGTAGCCATTTTTGGTTTCATGTCATTGCTAAAAGCGAACAATGTTTCTTCTGCAGAGGCATAAGGGTTTAGCAATGTAGTGAATTTGGAAAACGAGGCAATGAGCTCGTCAAGTGTATCTTCTAGGCCATACTGAGCTATCCTAGCTACTGACATCAATCCTTCAATGCATTCATGGAACATCTCATCTTCATCAGAATGCTCAAAGAATGCAGAAAGAGCTGCAATTGATGGACCAGCAACGCAAGCAAACATATCTCTTCCCAGCTGACGATCAAAATCACATTGGATGTAGAGCTGCATAACTTTGGATTGGTTCATCAGCTCCATCCACCTGCCTGGGTTCATCTCCACTAGCAAACCAGATTGACCAAAAACTGCTATTGGATTGGTTGCGATTGATTGGAAAAGCTCAGAAAGGTACTCTCTGGGAAGATCCTGCCCCCCATTGATTGCTCTATTGTTCCGGATAAATTCTTCCTCGGTCATTTTTTTCTTAACTTGTGGATTATGTTGATCAGTATTGAGCATTATAAGGGAGTAACAAAGGATGAAGACTGCATCCTTGCTAGCAAATATATCTGAGGATTGCTGGTCATAAAATCTATCCGAGAATGCTTCAAGGATCCGCTGAATCTTTTGGGATTCCCCTGGTAACCGAAAGGCTGCGAGATAGGTACGGAGTGCTGTGTCAAGAATCACGCCTGAAAATCTGAAGGTTTCTGCGAATTCTCGAAGAACTTGAAGATGAAACTCATCAGGATCACCAAGATAATCGCCCATCATGTTCTTGTCTAGTTCTGGTGTGTAGCGAAAGAACATAGCAATGTCTTTTGGATCTGCTGGTTCTGAGACTAATTGGCAAAGTTTCAAGTACTCCAAACCTTTCTTCTCGTCTCGATTAAAATGGTCCCTAGCAATCAACAGTTTCTTTTTCTGTGTTCTCCTTATTCTTGAGTCTTCTACCCAAGTCTCCAAATCTAAATCGTCTTTGGACTTCTCTTCCCAAAAGGGTCTATACTCGGTAATTTCAACTGGATATGGCCCAAAAGGACATGAATCACCTTGATTATCAATGTTCTCCGCGATGGTGTGCATTATGATCACTAGACCTTCAAAGGCTTGGACTTGTATGGTGGTCAAAGGGACAGCCCCTGGAAATGCGAGCTTGCATAGCAACTTTCCAATCTCCTCGAATACACTTAGGCAGGTAGGATGGCAGTCATAGTTGACGTACACTTCCATTATAAATGATGATTGCCTCAAGAAATTTATAATTGCTTCAACTGCAACTTCTTGGAGGTGAACTGAAGATCCTGTAGAAGCTACTCTCAGTACTACAAATCTGAAAAAGGCTTCTAGTTGAAGACGAATGAACCTGCAGAATTAAACACAGACATAACTCAGAAAAAAAAAAGTTTTTGATCAAATAAATAATCAATAACTACAGAAATAAAAATCTCACCTTTTAAGAAAGTGATAGATATTCAAAACAATACTGCAGATCATGGAGAATAGAAGGGGGGCTGATCGAGTTCCATAATGGATCAAATGGTGAAACAGGTCATCCTGAATCATCCTCAAGAGTTTGGGGTGCTTCCCAATTTCAGGTCCACCCAACTCTATGCAAGAATTTATCAAAACCAAGGAGAAAAGCTGAACATCCTCATCAGCTGCATGAGACGTAGACCCTTCTGTCTCCACAACCTGAACCACGTTAAGCAATGAGCATAAAAAGTGAAAGATGTCAACAGCACAGCGAACTCCATAACCAGAATCTGAATCGGTACCATCTTCAACATCCTCCATATCAGACTCGCATTGCTCGGGTTTTACCTCAATTTCTAACAACCTCGAAAATATAACCTGTAAAACTTCATGCATTGCATATCTTGCACTGCGTTGAAGCAAATCACTCCTGTTCGCAGATTGTTGAACAACTTGGAAACATGTATTCACCAGGTTACAAACAGCATGATTCGAAAGCAAAATTGAAGCGCTGTGTCTCATGACTGCTGTCAAAACCTGTAGAATTCTCAGCATCACAGCTTCTTCACATGCTTGGTTTGTAGTTTCAAGGCGACAAGTGGAAACCCCAGTCACAATACAAGTTATTGCATCTCTAGCTCCAGGGGTCTTCTCGTTGAAGATTTCGAGCCTGAGAATCTTCAGAATGGCCGAAAGTGCAACAATTGTGGCGGCTGCGGGGATGTTTTCGCCTTGTACCACATCGAGAAATGGGGAGATATAAATGGAGGGATCTATGGTTTGCCATTCTTGTTGAGGATTGAAGATTAAGGAACGCAGAGATTTCAAGGAATTAAGAATATTGGTATCGCTTTGACTATCTGAAGTATAAAAGGACGGTTCTTGTTGTGGCCGCCGCATGACGGCCAAGACAGCGCCCAGCTCGGTGTTCAACATGCAGGCGGAGGTAATTTCTTTTCTTTTCCTTTTCTGTTGGTATGACTCACATAGCTTTCTTTCTTCTTCCTCTCCTCCTGTTGACTCCATTTTTTCTTTTTTCTTGTTTTACTCACCAAGCAAGGGGAAAATAACGATAAAAACGGTTAGGAAAGGAAGTTGAGGTCCTCTAATCAACTAACGAAAACGAACGAAAAACGGGAATTGAGGTTGAGGTTGAGAATATATAGCCTTTTCTTCTTCTTCTTTAATTTTCAATCCCTCTTCTGCTTCCAGAGAATAATAGAAAAAAATGATTTTGAGGTGGAAGTCATACATGGACATGAATATCCTGACACTTGTAAAAAATGTGGCAGACGCAGGAGAAAGGTGCTAAACAAGAGGATAATTTAACCTATCTTTGGATGGCAAAAACTTGTATGGTTAAGAAGGACTATTTGAAGCCATTTATATCTCCTAGTTTTTTGAGGAATATGCCTAAAGAAGTAATTGAATCGGCTGACAATACCAGGATTGAGCAACCTCGTCGCTTATGAGACTAGACGGGCAAGGAAAATCATTCCGCATCCCTTAGCACCGCAGAAGCAAATTCCTGCATCAATTTTGATTTCCCAGATCTCCCTTCTCTTTCTATCTACTCTACTCTTTCAGCTACAAGATTCACACAAGCTCTTCCACTCGTGCCACAAGCAAAACAATTTGCCAAAAACATCGTCATCATCAACATTTCAGTCTTTGATTTGTGAGACATTTACTAGGGTTTTCAACCACTCCTCATGGAGAGTTAATATAACATCCCCAAATTTATAATATAATTGAGAACTTGGAACTTTCTCCAATTGATTTAATCATCAGTTTCCCAGCATGTCAGGCAGCTTTGACAACAAGCTCTGGTATGCCAGCCATAGTTGCCACTCGCAATTCCGAGCACCCTTGGCATGCTCCAGATACAAGCCGCTAAGAGAAGATCAGGTCCTGGTCACTTTTAGAAAAGCTTTCAGGTTTCGGCTTGAATGCACAAGCCATGTATTGCAATGAAACGTGTGGATGAGAAGCAAATTCTTTATTCTATAAGATTTCTTAGTATGGAATAGTATGGAACAAAGTGTCTAAACAAGAACTCAATCATTAACTAGACTATAAATAACAAGAATTAGAAAATCATATACCTTCTTAGTAATAACATTTATAAAATCAACTTCAGCTTTTCTTGAATTTGTTCAATTCATTATAAGGTGACCAAATTTTCCATATTTATAATGGTCACTTTGCTTCCTAGGCTTAGAGTTACTTTCACTCTTAAGTTTAGATTTATAATCTATTATTATTTTAGCTTTTGACAGATCTTTTAGCTCTTCTCTCCAGGTTTAAGAAAGCACTAGAGTTGAGCTTTCATTTGTAATCTTTCTTTAAACTTTTTCTCTTTTCAAGAATTAAGTCTTGAATTTCATCATATTTTAATTTAAATTTTTCAATAGAGTTACTTGCAACCATTGTCATAACCTACTAACTATTTGGAAGTGAAGTCAATAAGATTAAAGTTAAATGCTATCATTAAACTCAATTTTAACATATTACAATTGCTTTTTTATGATGTTGAATTCATTTAGGTATTAGGTAATATATATTTATTCCATCATCTTTATATTGAATAATTGACACAACTAAAAGATTGATGTCTTCTCCCAAGTGCAGGAGTGTCGAAGTAATAAATAACCCGGCAAGACCGGGGTCAAACCACA